AGAATTTATGCATTTAATATGTTCAAAAAAAGCATGTATGTAGCTTTTAAGTTTTTTCTTTCTTTCTTTGTTCACTTAAGTTTGCGTTTCTTTAGAGATAAAGAAAACTTTCAAGTATTTAATTAATGTTATTAAATGTTTAGAAAAAAAAGTAGAGTTATAAAACTAGCAGCAGCATTATTTGCAAATGATTTTCTTTTTTTATTTTCTATGACTAGCTGCTGCTTTTGGGGGAACAAAAGAAAAAAAAACGTTATTTAATTAACATTTTATATCTAGATATAAAACATGCAGAAAATTGGCAAAATAAAAAAAAATAGAAAATAAACATGAACAAGTCTTCTAATCTTAATTAAAAGAAATTAAAAAATTTATTATAAAATAAATAATAAAATATTTAATTAAATTAATTAAAGATGGCAATTTAAACTTGGGAATTTATTATTATAATAACCTACTTTTAAAAATTGCCATCTTGTTTTCTAAAAACTGATTTCAAAAACCTTTCACCATAATTATTTTAGATCTCAAAAATTTCAGCTTTTATTTTAAATAAAAAAATTTGTTGTTTTCATAAATTGTCTACTTTAAAGGTGCGAAAAAACGTATATTTTTTGTTTAAATTATTTTCCTTTGATGTTTTTAGCCATTGTATAGTATTTTTGGTTCAATAGCTTGTCGTCATACACATATGCAATCGGTTTTATTATTCTTCTTTCTTAATGAATCACAATTAAATTAACACTTTAATGTTAAAAATGTTTAAATAAATCGTCAAAAGCAACAAATCAAATTCTATACAATAAAACCATAAAAATAAAGACAGTCGGTTGAAATCAAACAAATTTTTTATAATATGGTTTCAAGACAATTTAAGTTTGAAAAAAAAATTATAAACAATTTAATAAAAAAATAAATTTAATGCCATAAATAAGATTGAAGTATGAAAAAAGTTTTTTGAACAAAAGATGAAACTTCTTTTTATTAATAGATAATATCCGGGTTGAGAGAATAGACCATTATTACAGGAAGCAGAGCCATAATAAATGATCTTTATTTATTAAAAATAACTTGTCCACAAATTAAAAATAAACAATTATTTTCGTTAAAAAAATTTTCAGCAGATGGACGGACAAGTTTGTTTATAGAAAAGTAGACTGATCAAGTAACTACGATTTGCAATTTATTTTTTATTTAATTTAACAAAAATTTATTTTGAAAAATTTTTTGTGCAAATTTACCATTTATGCAATATAAAAAAACTAAGCGTTACTAAAACTTAAATATTAACGAAATTTTTATTTAAAGAATTAAACCTTGAAGCGTTAAATATTGAAAATTCGTTACAGTAAAGAAAAAAGAAGATAAAATTTAAAAGAAAAACTCTTAAAACTCTTTAAAATTTATGCTGCAAACATGAAAATAATTTCAAACGTTCAGACAATTTGATATCATATGACTAAAACGAGGAGGAAAAAAACAATTCTATTGCAAAATCAATTTCGTAATTCGAATGGATTTTAAATTTTTTATAAAATTTTTAATTTCTATAGAAGTTTTAAAAAATTTCATATCATTAATGAAACTATTCATTGTATTAACGTAATTAGATAAATGTTTTATTCGGGCTATGAAACGCTACTTTCTATAATGTAAAATTTCGTATCATTAATGAAACTATTCATTGCATTAACATAAACAGATTAAAGCAAAAGTTTTATTCGGGCTACGAATCGCAATATTAACGCTACTTTCGTGACTACAATGTAAAATTTCGTACTATTAATGAAACTATTTATTGCATTAACGTAAACAGATTAAAACAAACGTTTCATTAGGGCTACGAATCGTACTTCAGTGTAATTCATCAATGAAACTATTCATTGTATTAACGTAAACAGATGAAAGTTACATTCGGGCTACGAATAGTAAACGATATTTACGTGACTTTAACGTAAAACTTCACAGTATTAATAAAAATATTCATTGCATTAATGTAAACAGATTAAATTAAAGTTCAATTCGGCCTACGAATCACAATATTAACGCTACTTACGTGACTAAAATGTAAAATTTCGTACTATTAATTAAATTTTCATTGCATTAACGTAAACAGATTAAAGTAAATGTTTCATTCGTGTTACGAAACGTATTTCCTTCAGTGTAATGATAATTCATTAATAAAACTTTTCATTGCATTAATAAAAATTTTCATTGCATTTCATTGCAATGAAACTATTCATTGCATTAACGTAAACAGATTAAAATAAACGTTTCATTCGGGCTATGAAGCGTACTTCTTTAAGTGCAATGATAATTCATTAACGAAACCATTCGTTGTATTAATGTAAACAGATAAAAGTTTCATTCGGACTATGAATCGTAATATTAACGCTACTTTCGTGACTATTAAATAAAATTTCGAACTATTCTAAAACTCGTCGGGCTATGAAGCCTACTTCTTTAAGTGCAATGATAATTCATTGTCTTAATGTAAACAGATAATAGATTCATTCCGGCTAGGAATCGCAATATTAACGCTACTTTCGTGGCTATAATGCACAAATTTCGTACAATTCATGAAACAGTTCATTGCATCAACGTAAACAGATTAACGTAAAAGTTTCTTTCGGGCTACGAAGCGTATTTCTTTCAGTGTAATCATAATTCATTAATGAAACTATTCATTGCATTAATGTAAACAGATAAGGTTTCATTCGGGCTACGAATCGTAATATTAACGAGACTGTAACGTAAAATTTCGCAGTATTAATGAAAATATTCATTGTATTAACGTAAACAGATTCAAGTAAAAACAATTTTTAAGCGATTTTTGACTATAACGTAAAATTTTCTACTACTAATGAAACTATTCATTGGATTAACGAAAAGTTTCATTAGGGCTATGAAGCATATTTCTTTTAGTTTAAAGATAATTCCAAGTTTTAACAAAATTCTGAATTTTTAAGAAAAACTTCGAATTTATAATGAATAAAATTTTTAATTTTAATAACAATTTCTAATTTTTAATGAAATTTTGAATTTCTAAAAACATTTCGAAGCTTTACTAATGAAAATACGAGTTTTGTGTGCAATTTCTAGTTTTAAAATACTACAAACTTTTTAAATGTCTAAAAAAACTCAAGCAGTTATACAGACCCAGCCAAATTACAATTTGGTAAGCAATTCCAACCACAAAAATTTGTATGTACATCATCAAAGTAAGGCTTTTAAGATAATTGCTTTGAATATAAAATTCTTTAAAGAAAACGAAGACAAGAAAAAAAAAAAAAAAAACACAATGTGTTTATAATGATTTTAGACAATCATGATGTTTATTTGAAGTTAATGATGAACATTTTTTTTTGTTTCTTCCCAAATAGCAGGTTTTTATATATGTACCTCAACTAAACATCTTCTAGACACCACAAAAAAAAATACAAAAAAAGTAACATTAATAATACATTTTGAGGTTGGCTTCTAATGGTGTTAATAATGTAAAATATAAAAGATGAAAAAAAAAATCCAACGCTGATATAGACACTTTACTTTAAAATACTTTTAATCAATCTTTTTTTATTTTGTTTTAAATATGTAGACAAACATATGTATTTGATGCTATATAGAGCATTAGATATGTATGTCTGTATGAATTTAAAAAATTTCTGTTTACTGGCTTCATTATATTTTTGGTTTGGGTGTAAAACCCTTAGGCCATTTGAAAGTGTTTATTATCATTAATATTTTTTTTTTGTTCATTCTTTTAAAATTTTTTGGAAAAAATATTTTTAAACAATTGTTTGCACCTCTGGTGGTTTTCGTATTTTACTTTGGGGCCTTTGCTTAAAAAAATAATTCAACCACAACAAAAGTACCTGTTTCCGATTAGTTGCGCGCGGTATGCTTATTATGAGGAATGAATTTTATATTTATTATCTTGTACATATGTAGCTGTCTTTCTCAATAACTATTTAAAATTAGAAAATTGTTAGCGATCATAAAAAATTTTAAATTACTGATCAAACTTTGATCACCTTTTTCTGTAGATACAGACAGGTTTGTTTTATATAGAAAAAGACAGGTTTGTTTTATATAGAAAAATTTGTTAGACTGTGTTCACTTTGTTGAAAATAAGATCAGAATTCGATCATTTTTTCTATAGAAAGTTCGATAAAACTGCGATCACTATTTCTATATAAAATTTTATCAGATTGAGATCACTTTGTCCACAGAAAATTAGATCAAAATGAGATTACTTTTTCTATAGAAAATTTGGTAAGACTACGATCACTTTGTTCACAGAAAATTAGATCAGAATGAGATTACTTTTTCTATAGAAAATTTGGTAACACTACGATCATTTTTATATATAAAATTTTATCTTACTGTGATCACTTTTTCTATAGAAAAATATATCAAAATGTTATCATGCTTTATAAAAAATGTCATCAAAGTGTGATCACTTTTTCTATAGAAAATTGTATTACATTGTGATCACTTTTTCTACAGAAAAATTTATCAAACTGTGATCACTTTTTCTATAGAAACATTTATTAAAACTGTGATCACTTTTTGTACAAAAATTGATCAGACTACGATCACTTTGTTCACAGAAAATTAGATCAGAATGAGATTACTTTTTCTATAGAAAATTTGGTAACACTACGATCATTTTTCTATATAAAATTTTATCTTACTGTGATCACTTTTTCTATAGAAAAATATATCAAAATGTTATCATGCTTTATAAAAAATGTCATCAAAGTGTGATCACTTTTTCTATAGAAAATTGTATTACATTGTGATCACTTTTTCTACAGAAAAATTTATCAAACTGTGATCACTTTTTCTATAGAAACATTTATTAAAAGTCTGATCACTTTTTATAAAAAAAATTGATCAGAATTCGATCACTTAAATCCTTATATAATATGTCTATGATCTTCTTCCATTCCAAACAAACTTAAACTAATAATTCTATTTTTCTCTTTCATTTACAGATCACCAAACTATTACCACTCATCGAGTCGCACTGTTCTAATCGCATAAGATTTCTACTCTGTTCGGCTCTCTTTCCTCTCTGTACACCCGATGTGCCAAGGCCAGTAACAGCTTGCACCTCGTTGTGTGATCATGTGAAACGAGAATGTTCCTCTCACACGGATTTAATGCAATTATGGCCAGAGTTTCTGAAATGTGAAAATCTACCCAGTCCCGAGAGACAAGAATTATGCATGCAAATTCCTACATTAACAGAAACCGCTAAATTATCGGCTGAAATTGGTAAAACCGAAATGCCTGTTAAACAAGATCAACCGCAGCCACCAAGACAATTACAAATACCACAACAAGTGCAACAGGTTCAGGCTGGTGGTAGTGCGGGTCACCATTTCTATTGGCCTTGGTTGAATCCCCATATTAGCAAAGCCATTAAACCCACTGCTATATGTCCGCTCAACTTTACCGTTAATCCTTTAAATAATGATGAATGTGTTCCACAATGTAATCGTGATGGTTTTCATTCCACTCAACAGAAGAAAGTGGCCGAGAGTTTGATATTGGGCTTGTCGGCGGTATGCTTTGTTTTGACTCTCTTCTCTTTGGTGACTTTTTGGGCAGAACCCACACGTTTCGGTTATCCGGAGAGACCAGTTTTGTTTCTGTGCTTGTGCTATAACTTGTTTTCCGTCTGCTATTTGGAGCGTATAGTATTCCATAATTCCTCCAGAGCATTTGCTGTCCATGAAGATCCTTTGGGTAAAACCCAATTGTTACCCTGTTCGCTAACACCACCCTGTTTGGCTTCCTACATTACTACCAGCTATTTAAGTTTATGTGCTGCCACCTGGTGGCTGATTTTTGCTTTGTGCTTTTATTTATCCTCACACAAGAAATGGTCCTCGGAGGCTTTGGAAAAGAAGTCCGGTTTGTTTCATGTTTTAGCCTGGGTGCCACCACTAGCTCCTCCTATAGCCGCTTTACTATTGGAAAAAGTTAAACCCAATGAATTGACCGGCATGTGCTCAGCTCCTGGTTTTGTGGAAATACCCGCCATAGTTCTATTACTTTTGGGTCTGTTCTTTACCCTCAGAGCCTCCAGATCGCTACATGCCCTACAACAACAAATGCTGCCCACTTTTGGACATCAGAGATTCTCACAAATACGCAAGAGATTTTTAATTTTCTCTCTGGTCTTCTTTGTGCCCACTTTAGCGGGAGTGGTGGCGATATTTTTCGAGCCTCATGCTGAAATGGTGCCTACATGTTCGACTCGTGAGGATTGTGCTTCACCTAATCAAATGCCTGCTTGGCCTACTTTAATCAGATTATTCTTTCAATTGGCCGGTGGTACTCTAACCGGTATGTGGGTGTGGTCTCGCAAAACCTGCGAGTCCTACAGAAGTCGTTTGGTGCCCACACCCACTTCCTCCATGACAAATACCACCACCAAATCAGCCAATTCATTGCCTAAGAAACATTTACATGCATCGGGTAAATCAACAATTGGCGCTCCTCTCTACAGTGGCATCAATTTTCACAATGTGCCCGTTTATACTACAACAGTAGTGGCGCCACCACAACCTCGGGTGTAGCCCATTAGTATTCATAAGACTACTACAACTCATTTAAGGGCGGGTGTATATAAAATTGGGGATTTCTAATCTAGATAAAATTAAGCTAATAATTTCAACGAAATTAATTAAAAATCTATTAAAATAATTGTACATTTTTTCTCTCTCTCTAATTTATTTTATAATTAATCATTAAGACTCGAATGTTGTTTTTTTTTTTAATAAAAAAATTATTTTCATTTATTAATTTATGTTTCCATGTGAGACAAACTTTGCCCAGTTATTAATTTTTAGTTTTTTTCAAAAATCATTTGTGAAAAAATTTAAATAGTAATTTGCTTTAAGGGCAAATTTCTTGTTAAAATAAATCATTATTTTATTTTCATTGCATTTTTGTGTTATTAGTTTTTAAATTATTTAATTTATTTTACATTTTTTGTTTAATGTTTTTTTTTCTTTGTATTATACATATATTTTTTTTTAATTACTATCTAAGTATTTGTTAATAATTTTAGTGTTATAAGTTAAACACTTGTAAATATAATATCAAATAATTTACACAAAAGTATTTAGTTTTTAAATTAAACATTGAAATGAAATATTTTTAAAAAATATATAAAACATTATATAATAAAAAAAAACAAAATGTATTTTATTTAAAGAGGAAATATAGGATTATCAAAGGTTTCTCTCTAAATTTCGCATAAACATTCCAATTCCATTCTAAAAGTTTCAAAAGTTCAATTTCACATTTGCTTACATCCTGAAGTTAAGTTTTAAAGTTATATTTTGCTATTGAATAATGAAAACTTGATCACATTTTGATCACTTTTTCCCTATAATAAAAGAGACCACACTGTGATAATTTTTTCTATAGAAAAGTTGATCGTACTGTGATGTGTTTCCTACAGAAAAGTTGGTTTAACAATAATCACTATTTATATAGAAACTTTTATCAGTCTATGATCAAATCAGATCAGTTGATCAGACTATAAATGTTTCGTATAGATAATTTTATCTGTTTGTGATCTGGGAAAAGATGATCATACTGTCATTACTTTTCGTTGATCAGACTGTGATATGTTGCTTAAACTGCGATCACTATTTCTATAGAAAATTTAACAAGCAGTGATAACATTTTCTTTAAAAATGTTAATTAGACTGTTACACTGATCAGTGTTCACACTTTATTATAGAAAAGTTGATCAATATTTCTATAGAAAAGTTGTTCGCTTTGTATCACTTTCCTACAGAAAGTTGATCAGACTGTGATCACTTTATCTTTCAAAATGATAATCTGAAGATCTTCTCGATTGATGATCACTATTTTATAAATAGTTATGTTGTGATCATTTCTACAGAAAGTTGATCAGACTCTGAAAGAAAGGTGTTCAGATCATGATCACTATTAAAAAAATATATTGTGATCATTATTTCTATTTCAAAGGTTTATCAGACATCAGACTGCCATTATTTTTTACAGAATAGTTGATCAGAAAGTAATCCCTATCATATCGGAAATTTATCAGACAATAATCACAAAGAATTGATCAGTCAGTGATCACAATTCATATCGAGTAGATCTGACTGTGATCACTTTCTTTTTTAAAGTTGATCATACTGTGATCACTTTTTTTTACATTTTATCAGACTGTGATGATTACTTAAAAAAAAAGTTGATCAGACTGTGATAACCTTTTTGTTTCGAAAAGTTGATAAAACTATGATCACTTTTCCTACAGAAAAGTTGATCAGAATGTGATCACAGTGATTCCTGTCAAAGGATCAGACAATGATCATATTAATTTGTTTTAATGTTGATAAGACTGTAATCACTTTTTTAGAGAAAAATTGATTGAATTATTTCTTGATCATTCTGTAATAATTTTTCTACAGAAAATTGATTAGACTATAATCACTTTTCCTACAGAAAAGTTGATAAGAGAGTGATCACAACTCATATTGAAAAGTTGATCAGACATTGATCACAATAATTATCGAAAAATAGTTTAGACTGGGATCGATTTTCCTTTTTAAAAGTTGATCAGACAGTGATCTACATAAAGTTGATTAAACTATGATCACTTTTCCTACAGAAAAGTTGATAAGAGAGTGATCACAACTCATATTGAAAAGTTGATCAGGCAGTGATCACAATATCGAAAAGCAGTTTAGACTGTGATCGATTTTTCTTTTGAAAAGTTGATTAGAAAGAGATTACAATTCCTGTCAAAGGGTTGATCAAACAGTGATCGTAATTAATATCAAATTGTACTTCAGACTGCGATCACTTATTTTTTTTTAAGTTGATAAGATTGCGATCACTTTTTTAGAGAAAAATTTTATCATATTGTGATTATTATGATCACTTTTACTACAGAAAAGTTGATAAGAGAATGATCACAACTCATATTGAAAAGTTGATCAGACATATGAAAAGTAGTTTAGACTGGGATCGAAAAGTTGATTAGACAGTGATCACAATTCCTGTCAAAGGGTTGATGAGACAGTGATCGTAATTAATATACTTCAGACTGTGATCATTTATTTTTGGATAAGTTGATCCGACTGTGATCTTTTCTTCAGAAAACTCTTATTAACTATAGAGCAATTTGTGAGGCTGCGATCACATTTCTATAGAAAAACTTTTCAGATTGTGATCACTATTTGTAAAGATGTAGATGTTTTACAAACATCTGCACTATAATGGAGTAGAGTAGAAAAATTATATTGTCTGTTTGTTAAAAACAAAAGACTCTGGACACAAACTCGAAATACACAATTTGTAAAACAATATTTTTTACATGTTGTAAAACAAAAAAAAAAAATAATTAATAACTTACAAATATTTAAAAATGCCATACAAGTTCATGTTCATTTACTACAGTTACTTCATGCAAACAAAACTGTTTCTCATATTTACTATATTTTAGTGACAAGACAGGTCTGTTAATTTATCGTTTGCTTAGATCTTATTTACGGTAATATCAACTTATTCGCACAACTTATCGACTAATTACAGATTGAAGAAAAAAAAAAACTACACAGAATAAAACAAAAAACTACATTTCAAAAACAACAACTCATTTCATCAGTTCTGCACATCACTAATACCTTGTATTCTTTTGTCTGGAGGAACATTTCCAGAAGCCCTGTAGCCTTCATTAAACATAATTTCTTGCTACAAGTATTAATGTGTTGTGCCATTTATTCTCCTTTTTTTTACTTTTTTGTGCTTTTACAACTTGCTGTTGGCGTTGATGGACACCTGGAGTGTTTTTCAAAAGTTTAACATCAACAGCAAAAAAAAAAGAACAACAACGAAATAATAATTGCTACTTACAGCATGACAACAGCAAGACAATACAGTGACATTGCATTTTGTACAAGTATAAATTATTTTCAAGTCAAAGTTTTTTTTTTACATTTTATTTCAAATTTTATTGTATTTCAAGTATCATTATAGTGCGGCATCTTTGTTATTTTTGTTTGAGCTGGTTGGTAAGTATTAAAAGTACTTGTATGAGAATTTTATATGAATTTTGATAATAAAATATCTTGTATGGATCATAAAATACTTCTTTGATCAAAAGATGTGCGAAATATCTTGTCTTAAGATTTCTAATTAAAAATACATTGTTGTAGACATTGTATTTGAATGGAGAATATTAAAAATTATTTACTAATAAATCGCTGCTATTACATAACATTAGGTTGGCCATAGGATCTTGAGACAGAAATTTTTTAATAGAAAAAACAAGTATGTAAGTATAGTCGGACATGGCCGATTATATGATACCCTACACCATGGGTGTATTTTGAAAATTATTTATTTTAAATAAAGAAACTTTTATGTTGAATTTTACCTTAATTAAGCAATTTATTGAAGAAAAACTAAATTTCTAAAAGAGGCTTCATATGGGAGTTAGGTTCAAATATAGGCCGATCCTCAACAAAATTGGAAAGAGGTATGTAATTTTATATAAAGGTTAGTTATGCTGAATTTCATTGCGATACTAATGGTCATAAGTAAATTTTTGGACGTTTCAGTTATTTTTTAAAGGGGGTTTGTATGGGGGCTAGGGTCAAACGACGGCCGATCATTATAAAAATTGCCACGGTCTTGTGTCAGATAGTGAGATAATAGTATATTTGACGTTGTTATGAGTTGAAAACCCTAAATCGGAAGGCTAGGTGAACTAATGGACCGATTTCAATCATTTTCGATAGGCATCGTATGGTCCAAATTATATCAAAATATCTTGAAAATTGTGGCCTGGACAGACAGCCGGAGAGACGGACCGACAAGTCTTAATCGACTCAGAAAGTGATTCTGAGTCGATCGGTATACTTTAAAGTGGGTGTAGGACCAATATTTTTATGCATTACAAACGTATAATACCCTCCCCACTATAGTGGTGTAGGGTATAAATAGTTGTTGATCTGTCGGTAATTACTTTTTTCTTGATAAATCTTATTATAGAAAATGCTCGCATTTCTATACAAAATATGATCTTACTACGATCTCTTTTTGAGAAAAGGAAATAACGTCAAATTGGAACCACTTTCAGATTGTAATAAGTTTTTCTACAACAAAATTTGGACTGATTGTCATCTCTTTTTCTATAGAAAATTTGATCAGATTGTGATTGTGTTTTTATAGAAATATTTCTATAGAAAACTTTATCAGATTGTGATCACTTTTCAAGCGATCACTTTTTCTATAAAATTCATTCAATTAAAAATCATATTGGTACTTTGATTTTTTATAAAAATTCTGATCAGATTGTGTTCACTTTTTTGCAGTATATTTGATTAGATTTTGATCTTTTTATCTATAAAAAATTTGATCAGTTTGCGATCTCTTTTTCTACATAAAATCTGATCAGACTGAGGGTACTTTATGCACAGAAAATTTGATCAGATTGTGAAATCAGTTTCTATAAAAATATTGTGATCGTAAATTTGATAAAGCTGTGATCAATAAAACAAAATTGATAATATTGTGATCACTTTTTTTCTGTGATCACAAATTTGATAAGGCTGCGATCAATAACAAAAAAAATGTGATGTTATTGTGATAACTTTTTCTATAAATTATTTTTATAAGATTATAATCACTTTTCCTACAGAAAATTTCAACAGGTTGTGATATCTTGATATCTATGAGTTTCATTTGTAAAGTTTAAGAGACTGTGATGATTATTTCTACAGAAAATGTAGATTAGGCTGTGACGTTTTGATTCAGCTTGATGTTTCTTTTAGATTAATATTTATTTTTGTACTTGCGATAAACATTTTTTTACTTTAAATTAATTTTTTAATGACTTTTTTTACTTAAGAATTATTTTTAACTATAAAAAATATATTAAAAATTATTATTATGAAAAAAAAAAACTTAATTTCATGTGAACCATGACGAAAAGTTTTTCAGCCTTTGTTTATTTATATCTTAAAAATAAAACTCATGAATTCGCATGACTCTGTTTTTTTTAAGGGAAATAATTATAGTTTCTTTGTTTTAAAGTGAATTTTAGACGACCCCTTTTTTTAAAAAACAACAACGCGAAAAAAACGCAATTAATTTGATTGAACTTGCCACCGAGACGAGCAATTAGCTTTCAGTGAAC